TAACAGTTCATTATCATGTACAGTGTAATATAACAAGCTATTATAATAAACAACAATTTGCAATATTTTTACACTTTTGCAATTAATTTCGGTCATTATTACACAGACATGACTTGTGCCACTCTGCCATAGTACGGTTGTTGCTCCCTTTCATACCACAGTAATTTTGTATACATCTCTGAATGAAAAAAATGCATGCTCCTTCTCATTATCAACCCTGATCAGATTTTACCCCCGAGGAGTACTCAAAAAGGTTTATTACTATATATACTGTGACTCAACCTCGACGCAGTCGTTTTTTATAATTTTCTTCCTTTGTATTTTACTGAGAAGCGTTTTCTTTAATTTATTTGCATTTGCTTACTTAAAATTTTTGTATTATGCAATTTCTTCTTGCTAAAAAGGGAGTAAAATCTGTTTATGAAATGTGACCTTGCCACACCATCACCAATTACAGGTTAACCTACTATTCACGCGCGTCGCCAATTTACTGTCAAACATTTCTCATGCACATACAACTTGTATTGAAATTGAACGGCTTGCGTATGAAGCTAACTCAATTGCCAATCATTGTACTGCGTGACATTTTGATTTGACGTTTCGATCAAAGAAAACGAATGCAAACGCACGCAAGCCAATTTCGGGTGACGCAAAAAAACAAATTCGACGGCGTGCGTACCAAAACGCAAGCCACGAATAATAGGTTAGCCTGTTAGAGTCAATTTACACGATGAATTTTCACCCTGGGTGGAAAGTCTTGCGTTTTGAGCTTATACGTAAAAAGTGTTTAGAAGTCAGCAGGGTAGGCAAGCACGCACGGTGAGCGAAATCGAGGGTTTTTTTTGACGTTTCGCTTTTATCGAATTCACTTTTTGGTATTTTTACTTTGAGTTCGCGATTCGCTCCGCTTTAAAAATGAGGACGAAAGAGTTGGCCAAAGAAAAGCTTAAGCTTAAATGTAAAAAAAACGCAAGAAACGCCGCAAAGAAAAAGCCATCGTGTAATCGCACGAGGTTTTTCGAAGACTTTTTTAAAAGGGAACGTGCAAAAAATACAAAAGCAGTTTTCATTCATACTGTCATTAGGTAACTTGAGAATGGGAATTGCTGCATCTTTTAGGCGCATCATTATTACATAGTTGCATCCCAAGCAAATAAAAGTGAGGTAAAAATGTGCAAATTTTTTATGCGTAAATTAACAATTTTTATACCCAAATATCAAAGATTTATTTATTACGTTGAGTTTGTTTTGATTTGAAAAATTCAAAATGTCAAAAGCAAATAAAAGTTTTTGGAGAGCCTTTGTTTTGAGTGAGCAATTAGAACGCTTTTGCTTCGTAATTTTGATTGAATGCGTAATTTTTAAATTGTGAATTTGTATAGAGAAAAGCCTGATTTGGCTTCGCATTTCAGGTTTCTCGCCCAAATGACGCATTTTGGCTGTAATATTACACAAATTTCAAAAAGTACCGTCCATATTTCAAACTTTATTATTTTCGAGTAAGCAGTTTTATGACCCCATTCATTTTAGTATAATAAAGTGCCAGTCTCAAGTCGCTAAAAATTACCGTTTAGGATTTTTTTGCCGTATAACGCATCACCAAAATGTATTTTTAAAATAACGGTAGCATTTAGCGACTTGATTAATTTTTGTGAACTTTGTGCAAGCTTTGAACCTTTCATATGTGTGGTTTCTGTTGTCAATCGAACTATAATTTAAATGAAAATTATTAAAAATTAAAAAATAAACAGAAGTTTTGGTGCTATTATTTTGACCGCAACTGTATGTACCAAATAAGTTTACATATGTATACATCAATTAACAAAGTCAAAAAGTTATGTGAGTTATTGGTGTTTTTTGACCGCTAGCACCGGTGGCAGCGACGCCAGCTGCTTGGCTAACTGCCCGCTTGCAATGTTGTATCAGATTCATGAGATTACGATTGCTATTCTAACTGCATATTGTTCCAAGTTGTTTGGCAGCTTGCCTGGCTGTATGTTTAACAGCAGCGGAATAAATATACTCACTCTCACACCTGACGTAAATACGTACATATGTTCATACATACATACATATATTAGACTGGTTCAAAGTTTTTTCTAGCCATCCCCCAGAACCGAAAAATATCGAAAATAAGAAGACCCGTTTTTTTTATATTTTGAAATCGGCTTATGTTTAACCGTGTCGCCGGGGCTTTGAAGTTGTCCATATATTTTATATTGGTAAAATAAACTTTTTGTATAAATGCTATAAAATCGCATTAATATCGGAAAATCAGTTCAAAAGAGACCTTAAAATACTACGATTCATTATATATTATTCTTAATAAATTAAAAAGTACTTATTCTTTAATATTCAGCACAACAGTTATTAAAAATGATTTTCTGTGATTAATAGAGTTTTTTTTTGTTAGACAGTGTTGTTTGAGAGTATTTTCAGGTACGAGGTTTTGCCAAAGTACCGTCGATATTTACCTCTGAATTTTTGCCAATACGTACTATAACCTATAATCTTATTTCTTCTATATATAAAAAATGTCTTATTTTACGTGCTCGTAACCACATCGCACATCATGAAAAATTATTTAGTAACTTTTTAACGCTAGATATATATCATAATTTTATTTTTTGAACACTTCTGAGGGGAAATACCTTTATTCGTTAAAAATATTTATTTTTAAAGATTTTATAGCAATTCTACGAAAAAATGTATTTTCTCCGTTTAAAATATATGGAGAGCTTCAAAGCCCCCGGTCGCTGATTAAAAACTATCCGATTAAAAAAAAGACAGGTCTGCTTATTTTCGATATTCTTCAGTTCTGGGGTGCCAGCGGGAAAAATTCAAAAAGTCGATTTTATTGGGTATTTCTGGACTACCCTAATGTTTTCATGCTTCTGCCATAGCACGTACATATGTATTATACATAAATAGTTGCGTTCCACAACTTTTCTGTGTTAAAACCTGTCAAAAGGCAAAAGAAGCCAGAGAACCGAGTACGTGAACGCTTTCTGGCAAATTCCTGCAAATTCTTGTAACTTCTTGCGAGTTAGGGAACGCAACTAATGTTTTTACTTGTCGCCGGCAAGTGACTCGGTTGGGTGTCTAAAATGTTTTTATTTATTAACCGAAAATCGAAACTGTATAAGATTCTGAATTTTTTCTTATTTCACACATATGGGCAAATCTAAAAAATAGGTACAGGATACGCGATACACCAAAAGTTTGAAAATTGTGAAATGTAGAGTTACAGACTTTAAGTTACTTGCCATATCGTTATTTTTTAAGGCACACTTTTCTTACCTACTACATATGAAGTGTACACATAAGTGCTAAATGCCCATTTAACTTCAAATCAGAATATGGTGTGCTTCAAAAGTTATGACATAATTAATTGTGCCCCTCTTATAAATTACATAAAAATTAACTTGTTTTCATTATTTTTTTTTAATTTAAACACCTATAATTCAAAAGTTATGCAGCAAATTGATCCAAATTTTTTTTGCGGCTTCAAGTATACGTCAATGAGTTATATCCAAAAGCAACCAGCTGGATTTAGTTTACAACAGTGAAAATAAAGCTAAATAACACAAAGGTTACCTGTTTTTTAGATTCGCCCACATGCATGCAATTTCATATATCGGTACCTAAAGATGAAATGGTGCTAAGTCCATTTTTTTTAATTATTCAAGAGAGACAAAAAATCGATGTAGTTTCGCATTATGCATATGTCACTCTGCATCAAAAACTAAAGTTTGGAAAAACAGTGGACTTGGCACCTTTAGGTAGCGATTACTGCATATATACTATACATCTATGTATACAAAAAACCTGCATATACATACTATGCGTGAATATGTTAAAAATATCCAACATTCGGTGAGTTCGGAAAGAACCGATTAACAGATGTCATACATCTTTGATCAACCGGCCGCCAACGGCCAACAGATCATAGAATCGATTGCGACATACACAAACATACAACTCAGGCACGCCAAGTCAGTGGTTTTTGATAGGGATTTATCCTTACCGCACTTGCTAGTTGTTATTTACGGGATGAATACATATTTTTATACCCGAGCGCACTTGTGCACCAGGGTATATCAAATTTGTTCACATAACGGTTGTTTGTAACAGCCAAAACGAATCAAGCTAGATATAGACAAATGTATACATAAAGACTCAGAATGAATAGAGAAGTCGATTAAGCCATGCCTGTCTGTCCTTCCGTCTGTCCGTCAGTCCGTGTACATGATAACACGAGCAAAATTGAGATATCTCAACGAAATTTGGTATGTAGGTTTCCATTTTCAAAAATACGAAAACTGCGATTAGTAACTACTGAAGATTATTCACTCAAAATTTTTATTTACAATAAATTTTAGACTAAAAATAAGAATATTATAAATTTTTGGAAAATAGGCGTAGCCACGCCCACTTATGGTTACATGTGTATATCTTGATAACCGCTGCACCAATTTCTTCCAAACTTGGCACAGTTGTTGGCCTTGGCTCAGCATACCAAATGGCCGAAAATTTTTAAAATCGGACAATAACCGCGCCCACATCCCATATAACGGTAATTTAGAGAAATACAAAATCTTCGACAAATCAGTAAATAAAGTTTACCAAGAAATACGTTTCTGATAAAATTTTGGAAAATGGGCATGGCACCGCCCACTTATGATCACATATATGTATCTCGGTAACCGTTATACCAATTTGTACCAAACTCGGTATGGTTATTGTGCTTGCCACATTAAAGCAAAATGTTGAAAATTATTGAAATCGGACTAAAATTGAGGCCGCTTTTTATATAACGGTAAATTTCAGAACTGCTTGAAACATCAATATTTCGTAATTTAAGGACTCTAATTTACTCAAAATTGATTACCATGCAGCGGTAGCTTTCGGAAAGGTTAAAGTCATATATTTAATACTTGCGCAAGGTATTTAATGTTCGGATCCACGCGAACTAAGACTTTCTTACTTGTTTGATTTAGATTTACATTTAAGCGTCTATAACCTGTCATAATTGCTCAATGGCATGTAAAAGTGATTCGCAAACCTATTTCGAAATCAAAGAAAGGACAGACTACAAAAATAATTCCACGTGTAAACATTTTTGAGTGCACATAAATATACACACTCTTATAAGTTATTCTTTATCTATTATCTTATGCGCATAAAACAAAACTACAGCCAAAATGGACAGAACTATGTATGGAAAGTTTGATCCAGGTGCAAGGCAACCGTATCGCACAATTCGAGCCAAAGGAATACAACCCGGATGTAAGTAAAGTATTTATATACTAAAATTATTTGAAAGTATATATGTACATATGTACATTAGACTGCATCACTCCCCATACAAAAAAAAATCGGTACTGTGTTGCCATTGGAATTATAAAATCTATTATATTTTAAGACTTCCACCAAACCATTTCGGAAAAATATTAAGGTTTACGTGACCTGGACCGATTTGAAAATATCTCCAAAAATGGAGTCTTTTATCAATAAAAATAGTTTCTTAAAGATTTTTTTTTGAGATAATCCCCTGAAATGGTAAAACGGTCTAAGCTTAAGAAATTTGCATAAAAATAAAAAAAAATTAAACGGAATCGTAATAATGAGATTTTTGATGCTGTTTTTTAACTTTATTCAAAGATTGGTATAAGAAAAGCTTGAATAACTGAACCTAAACTATACCGATTTAGACTTGTGAGGTATCATTGGAAAGGTATTTTTCCACCCTTTTTATTCCTTTTTTAATAAACTCATTCAAAGGATGAAAGAGAAAGGTAGGATGAACAGTGTCATTCCAAGTTGAATTAAGATGTATTGGTATTTGAAAAAAAGGGACCTGAACGAGTTCTTTGCACAGAAATAAAGAGTGAGAAAATACCTTTCTACTAATACTCCATAAGTCTAAATCGGAATAGTTATGGCCCAGTTATTCAAGTTTTCGTAAATCAATCTTTGAAAAAAGTTAAGAAACATCATCAAAAATGTTATTATTACGATTGAGTTGATAACATTTTTAAGTATTTTTATGCAGACTACATATGTACACTTATTTTTTTAAACAAAACTTATTGCCGAGAACTTATTTAATTAGCAAAAGCCGAAAAATAAACTTTTGCTTAGTAAACAAATCCAAAATTTTTATTGTTCACTTTATTTCAAACGTTTTTTCTTTTGTTTTGAAAATTATAAAAATTAATAATAATAATAATAATAATAACATAAAACAAAAAAACATAAAACAAAAAAACATAAAGCAGAATCAGCATTTAACTACTCATCAAAATGAAAATAAGAGAGCACGAATTTCGATGTGAAGCAAAACTTTCCGGGAAGACAATACCTGTGAATAATTGTACCATGTTTAAAATCATATAAAATTGAAAATAAAAAACTTAAATTGTTCACAATTGTTGTTGAGATTGAAAATTGGAATGTGTGAGTTTGAGTCTTGAATTTTAAAAGTATATTGCTGGCAAACGTCAGACTGTCTCTCAATGGTTTTACCTTGTATTGTTTTTATCATGGAAGAATCTGTTCAGCAACGAGCTACCAACAAATCGGGATGTAATACAATATTTATTTTATTTCAAACAGAAAAGCATTTAAAATGTGCTCAAAAAATAGGGTTGCCAGATTTTTTATGCGCGACATCAGTACGTTAGACTTTTTCACGCTAAAAAAATCAGTACTTTTCAGTACATTTTTATTTAAAGCAAAATTATGAATGTAACAGCCGGTTTCCCCAAAAATTTAAATGGAAAATGATTTTTTATTTTTTGTCAATTTCCCTATAAAGTTCAAAAAACTAAAATCATTTTTCACTTAAATTGCTTTCGTGAAATTGACATTTTTAAATAGCAATAATGAGATCATTTCCATCTTCAGTGTTTAAATAGTCAAAGAACTCTATACATTTCATTTAAATATTACTTTTAATTTGAAAAGTTTTAATTTTAATTACATAAATAGAGGCGGGTTTCTCTTTGCGCCAGGAAGCAAACTTTATACTCTTAGTTCCTTCGTTGGAGTGTGGTATTGAAAAAAAAACTGTGGGAAAGTACCACTATTTAAGGACTTCATCTATATTTCCTTTCTACTTTAAGCCATATTAATTTTTTCAACTACGCAAAAACTTTGAAAGACTAAAAATTCTCTGAAAAGAGTATCTTACTCTATGTCTTGTATGCAAAACTCTTTTACAATATCAGCAAATTGTGAAAAAATAATCGTAAGTTATAGGCAAAAGCCATTCGAATATTCATATTTGTTGTTATTAAACTGAAAGTTATTTTCGAGATAACTAACACTCGATAAAAAGAGTCAGCCTTTTTAATAATTTAAGCTCCATTATATTATCGCAACTGCAATGTAACGACCCGGCGATATACCCATAATACGATTGAACTTTTTGTTGTATTAATTTCTTAGGCATATCAAACATTATCTGAAACATGTCAATTATAATTAAATTATTTTCTTCTTACTTTGTACAGTACAGTTTAAGGAAGTTCCAACCTGATGTAAAAACCTTAAGAAAATCCTAAAGTATGTTGTTTGAATTGAAAATTCAGTACAAATTAGTACAAATTTTGAAAAATCAGGACATTAGCGTACTGATTGAAGATAAATAAAATAAAAAAAAAAACTTGAATATACAACGCTTTTATAAATGGACTAAAAAGTTGAATATTTTTCAGTCCCACAGAATTTGTTTTGATAACTTTTGATTTTAAAATTTTAGCAAAAGTCATTATAAACAACACTGGTCTACAAATTTCAACTTTTTTTCTGCGAATAAGACGGGACCTGGTGTTTCTGAACGGATTTTTCGTGCTGAACACGAATCCGGGGTCAAAAATGTCCCATCACGTCACGTTTTCGAGAAAAAAGGGGTTGAAACCCCTAAAAACAGCGTTTTTGGCCATTTTCGAAAAATTATAGAGCTGAACCCTGACGTGGTACAAATTTTGCATATATCAGAAATTAAAGGCTAAACCGTGCCCTTTCGAATGAGCCCTATGCCGAATTGATCGCGTGCACCCTTAAAGCAGGGGGTGTATTTGTGTTTAGGGGTGCAGGAAAAATTGATCACAGAAAGAATTTAATCTTAAACGATCATAGAAAATTAATAATGCCAAGGTTTTAACTATATTAAAAGTCGCTGATTACGAATCTGCAGTTAGATTTTAAAAATTTAAGATGACGGGTCGAATATGGTGGATATAAAAATTGGACTCCTAGACACAAATACACCCCCTGATCTAAGGGTGCATGCGATTAATTCGGCATAGGGCTCATTAATTTCTGACATATACAAAGTTTGTAGCACGTCAGGGTTCAGCTCTACAATTTTTCAAAAATGGGCAAAAACGCTGTTTTTAGGGGTTTCAACCCCTTTTTTCTCGAAAACGTGACGTGATGGGAAGTTTTGGACCCCAGATTCGTGTTCAGCACGAAAAATCCGTTCGGAAACACCAGGTCCCGTCTTATTCGCAAAACCCTTGTAGACCAGTGCAATTAATGACATTGAAAACGAAAAACGTGGAGCGCATGCAGTACAAAGCATTCGATTTCATTGACAATAGTCAAACTAGATAACATTCTACAGCGAAAGTACAAATTTGAGATCGATTTTAAGCGGTCGTTATTCATATGTCCACATACATACATATGGGTGTTTCCATACAGCCGTACGCGAAATCTTTTTTATTCATACGAATCATTGCAAAAGTTCTGTTTTTTATTTTGTGTTTCTAGCAGTAGACGGAATTTCGCAATAAATAATAAAATATTTTCCGTACGTTTCAAAAGCAGTTAAAAAATGCGTGTAATTTTCTTCACGAAATTGATATCATAAATTTTGTGTTTCTAGTTCAGCTTTCGGCACTCAAAAATTTTACCTCAAAGAGGTGTTTTATTTGATATCAATTATTTTGGGGTAGCAAATTTAAAATCGACGAAAATTCAACAAATAATCTAAATGTTTTATTTTTCACAAATAAATTACTAAAAATATTATCTAAATCTAAATTATGTAAATCGATGTGTCCATTGAAACATATAATTTTTCGAATACGGAATAAAGCGAAAAAGAATGATCATATACTTTGTATTCGAAAAAATTAATAAAAAAAAACAATTATGAGACATGATAAAAACTTATCAACTTGGTACAAACTTTGGATACAATAAACAACTGTATTCGTCTGATTGTCTCGTAGTTTATTTTCGTTAAGATTTCTACAGGGTGTGGGGCGCACACATGTGCTTTTTTAAGAAGTGTGCGGTGTTGCACTCGTGCTATTAAACTAATGCTTTTTTCTCAAGTAGTTTTGCTCAGTAGCAATTTATACATACGTATGTAAGTAGTAGCGGCACATTGGGTGAACTAAATGCATTCATACATACATATTTATGTATAACTGTTGGTAATATTGTACGCGTCTTTCCAGGTAGGTTAAGTGCGGGTGATAAACCCATGTAGCATAGTTAAATACTGTGTACATACCTGCAATTAAAATGGTAAAAAATGTTACAATTTCGGCATGTGACTGAAAAAAAACTCTAAATTGTGGTTTCCAAGTCATGTACGAAGTGATTAGTACAGCTGCATCCTTCAATTTGTCAACTCGCGGGAAATTCCCCGATTTGCAGGGAATTTCGGTTTAAGTGGCAATCGGGGAATGGGCATTTTTTCGGGGAACTGGATATATTATTTTTATATCTTAAAGTAACCAAATTAGACGGATATGTTAATTTTTAACCATTTGACCCTTTTTAGAGCGACATTTTTTCAATTTGAATCGCAATATCTCCACAACAAGAGTTTTCCCAGATATAAGCTATATACCAGATGAGAGCTAAGGTTTTGGGCTAGATTTGTGGAAACTTAAAAAATTGCTTTTTTTCGAATTTCAGACAGTAGCCACGCCCACAAAGACATACGAATCAAAACATCGTGGAACAAAACTTAGGAACTTCTTAGTTTTTTTGTACCTTAATTCGAGAAAGTTTGGAAAAAAAAGTAAATGAAGGTACGTACAGACGCCGCATACATACCAAAGCATTTCGTGGTGGAGACACGAACCAAAACACATTAACCTCTATATCTTTCTAACTAGTAGCCGGAACTTAATATATAAGGTATCGTTTGAAAGGTATTGGCCTATAGAATAATATTAAATGTGTCGGGTGTACCCACATGCCCCCTTAAACCGGCAAAAGCAAAAAAACGTTTTTTGTTTCGCAAAACTTTAGCCTAATTT